TCCTTTCCCAGCATTGAGCATTTGGTCGAGATCTACACACCTTCCAGACAGATTCGTCAGACACCTAGATTGACACATTTTCTCCTATTCACTCCGTCTCTCACCCTTGCATCGCCCACATTGACATATAATTAACTCCTTACTCACTCACTCTCACACCCTTGCATTGGCACTTACATGACCAAAATTAAGTCGATAGTGCCGTAAAACACCTACTCAATTAAAAACAACAACAACAACAACAATACCCTAGCATCATCCATTACTGACGCAACTCCTCTTACTCACTCCCTCTCACACCCTTACATCGCCTACATTGACACTTTACTCACGCCTCTCTCGCATTTCCCAGATTGACACATCTCCTTACTCACTCCCCCTCTCTCTCTCACCTGTTAATCCTAGCTGAGAGATCTCACTCACCTCTGCCACTCACCCCACACCTGCTCGTTTCTCATCGGGCACATATCTTAAAGCTGTTCCCATTGTTCCCGGAGGACTCCGTAGAATTGTTACGCATATAGAAAGTGGAAACTCTGTAATTTAAATTTAAAAATCAACATAATGACTATGGCAGTTTTCAAGGTACCATTACAAACGAATGTTTTCAAAGACAAAATATCTATAATAATCCTCTTTTTCTTTACAGAATAAGTAAACATCCTAAATGGATACCATGATCATCTTACCTTGACTTAAAAAATATTAGTATAATACATCAAAATATAATATTTATGTGTTGTTTTTCACAGTTGAAAGTTTTATCGCCATGGGTCTGGAAATAAACGTATAACATAACAATTTCTAGGAGAAAAACCATGGCGAAATGTTTGCTCTGATCTAATACCTAGTGCGATAATAACAGTATTATTTTGTGACAATAGCTAGTCAAGTTTTGTGGAAATAACAAGTAATGTTTTCTTGATATAACGAGTCATATTTTGACCCTAGACCGGTCTGAACGTTTGATAACAAAGATACATTTTCTAGTTTGTTTTGGGTAAGACAAAGCATCTTGAAACAGATCAATTGGCGAAAATACCAGAATAATTATTAATTGTGAACTCGCAAAAGTCGATCAAGTACAAACAGTGATGACGTAATTAGGTCAACCAATCGCGTCTCTCCCTCTCAGTCCTGAACTACAACAAAATGAAAAGAAAATAACACAGGATCAGCAGCAAAATGTTATTGTGTATGGTATTCATTTACTTGGACATTATAATAATAATATACATCTATGGCGATAAACTAAAAATTACTCATTAATGGTTTCTGAATTACATGTAATTTGAGATTGACCTAGATTTGTGTATATGTTTGACTATTCAGAACCCGGTTGAGGCCTGTGCTAACGATTATACGGTTTTAAAGTCGAAGTCGAAGTATGTCGATAATACTAAACTTAATGTCCGTAATATTTTGTCTTGACATTATCATTTACGATGCAAGCAGATATCACTGGTTCTGGCCAATTGACTGCAGCTTCTGGATTTAATCTACATGTAGTTTCAACGGGGAAAAAAGTTGCGTTTAAACAACTGAAACCTTTCTAAAGGTAGGTAACCATGTTGGATATTCAACACTCTCATCCCAGGTCCAGGGACCCGAAAACGTCAACACCACTCACCACCGTTGGGCAGAAACTTTCACGGCACCCAAGAGCTCACCTGCGTCTGTGGTGTAGCGGTTAGGAGCTTTGCCACCGCACGCAGAAGATGGGAGTTCGATTCCCACGAAGGGCGGCAATTTAATTGAGTATCTCCGTCTGTCTGTTGGGACGTTGAAAGATAGTCCCCTCAGCCCGGGGTGACCCTGACAAGCAGGCCGAAGCACGCTTTGAATTATCTGAAAAGTGCCGATGAGGGCGCAAAGATCTGCAACAACAAGTAGTACATGTAGTACATATTACCCAAAAGCTTACAGTTACCAATAACCAGGTAGCAATAATCAAGAATGTAAGCGTTGTGTTTATAGACACTGAAAATATCGCAAGATGTTTCGGTTTCTCATGACTAATTATAATGTTTACTCGACGTTAACTGTTTCTTACTTTAGCCTACATCGCTCTTCAGAATCGATTTTAAAATAAGATAAAACTGATACATACGTGCAAGTGTGGCCTCTTTTTTATTGGGGGGGG